TCAACTAGAATTCAGCTATTCTGTTTTTAGCTACATATTCAAATTCATATCAATTATAAAATTTTGCTGTGTAGTATGTTATCTAAAAGTAATGAAGGTATAAACTATGTATCTATTATTTGAGAATAAAGTTTTCAAACAAGGAACTTATCATTTTGGAATTCTCCGGGAATCATAAATCAGGTAAGTGCAATGATTTTTACAATAAAAAATTTGCTTGTAAATATTTTTTTTTCATTTGATGATGGTTCTCTACAGAATGGTTTTTTACGTCTGATTAAGAACTATAAGAATAATAAAAAAAGAAACAATATGAAAGTTTTTATTTCAATGTTAATAATTCTTAAAATCGTTTTTTTTATCCTAAGAATTCTTTATTTTCCGTTTTTTAGTTTATAATTTTTTGATAAAAATTGTTCTCAAAATACTTTTGAAAAATTAAATGGTATAACATTATGTGTTTATGTATACTTCTTGTATATTCCAATGTTTGAAATAATATGATTCAGAAAAGTATGGAATAAAAATTCGGTACTTACGACGTATTAACGCCACCGCCGCTACAGATTTGGCGGTTTTTAAGTGCCGCCAATCTACACTTAAAATTTTTGCGACAGTTCATAAAATAAAACACTTTATTTAAAATCAAAATAGTTAATTGGATTTCGGTGGAAAATGAGCCGATATAGAGTTTAGCATAGATTCAAAACAATCATATCGCCATATGAACTCTGATGAATAAGATTCCAAATGAAATAACATTTCCAAAACGTACGTTTGCCAAGATAAAGTTTTATGTTGTGGGAATTGGTACATTTTCGTTTTTTCGGTAAAATATTTCCCTCCTGAAAAAATAAAATTGCATCTTGTTTTGTTTTTGGCAAATCCCAAAGACGAATATTCGTAGCACTAAAAATGGCGACAAAAAAGAATTGTTTTTTTTTTGTTTTTGTTTCGTCAGCATTCTTTATTTTACGTTTCTTAGTTTCTAAATAATGATTTTTATTGAAACTTGAAATTTTTTGATAAAAATTGTTGTCAAAAAACGTTGTTTACAAAATTAAATTTCATAAAATTATGAGGCTTATGTATACTTTTTGTTCATTTTAATTTTTGAACTAATATGATTCTTAAAACTATAGAATGTAAAGTTTAAATGGGCCTTTCATGTTATATCATTAAATTTAGTAATACTATTTCTCGGGCATTAGGTTTTAACTCTTATAAGAATATACATATTTTTTTCTGTTAATGTACAAATATTTTTCCGATGTGTTTTGGATATTCCTTCTCTAATAAAAAGAGATACCATTTTGTTTTCGGTTGTACAAGAAAGAAGATCAAGCATTTTTCTTTTTTAAATTTAATTAGCCACAATAAAGAAGGAACGTTGCAATGCTACGTGCTACATTAACGACGTCCCTAGAGTAACTGAATGACTGTTCATATAGAAATCGCAGGTATTAGTCTCATACAACAACGCCCCCTATAGTTCGTTGCGATCGCGAATATTTTTATGACTTTTATTATTTTTATGCTAGTGAGAACCAAAACAATATGGAAATGAATGAGGGAAAACTGGATCCTACCACGTGATTTCCCTGCCAATAAAAATGTAGCGTTAAACGTTTAACGCAACCTTGTTGGTAGTCGCATAAGAAGTATAACTTCAATAAGAAGCATTTATTTTAAGAGAGCTTTAGCAGAGGATAAAGGGAAGGGGCTGCAGAGTTCTTTTTTAGTATTTCAGAAGCAAATTTCTTTTTTTGGGGGGTCTTTTTCTTAAAAATTGTTAGGAGAAGCCGCAGAGAATTACAACTTTGGACTCTAAATGAGCTCACCGAGATTACAACTAATTCCTCTAAAGGCTGATTCCAAAGGTAAAAAACAAATTGAAAGAGAAAAGAATTGTAATCTAAGGAATTGGTAGCACAAAAATTTAATCTTTTTATGTGCAGACAATGAATTTTGATTTCTTTTTTGGTCTCTGGATATTTTCAAAGATCACCTTTTTTTTTAAATATGTAACATTTTCTTGCATTTTAAATTTTATACAATTAAATTAAAATTTAATTCATTTTAAATTAATACCATATTTATGCTTACATTTTTTGATGAAGGGTATTTTAAATTTCCAAGAAAAGTATTTTAAAATCGTTTTTTTTCTTCATTTTGGCTGGTACTTTTTACTCAGTACTTTTTTAAATAAGCACTTTTTACTTTTTACGCGATACTTTTGCTTTAAGTGCCGGCTCTTTTACGCGTTACTTTTACGTAACGTTCCCATGTATGGTTAGTTTATTCCATTGACGAAACTCTTGCCGCTCCAAGTTTCTAATTTTAAACAGTTACATCACGCCGTTCAATTCACGTCAAAAATATTTCGCATGTTAATGAGCATCTTGATATTTGTGAAATATGTGTGATATATGTGTCTTTTATTTGACTTTCATGAGACTATTTTATGCGACTTTTCCAAATGCGTTCATTGTTTTTCCCAAATAATCTTTTTCTTAGCTATTTTTAACATGATTTTATTTTAATCTGGTAACAATAATTTAAAAATAGTAGAGAAATATTAGCTTGAGCAATCGTAAGAATTCTCATAAAACACACAAGTTGGAAAATGTAAAAGGAAGGAAAATGTAAAAGGGACAATAAAAAATTATAAAATGGAGAATTTATCATGCTGGGATTGAATAAGCAATATAAAATGGAATTCTGTAGCTTAAAAACTTTTAGTAGAATTTCGCTTTTTTCAAATCGATGCCATTGCGTAACTTCAAGTAGAAAAGCCCTAAGAAAGTGTATAAGGTAAAAAGGAAATGGTAAGTATTTTATTTATGTCGCACTAGAGCTGCACAATGGGCTATTGGTGACGGTCTGGGAAACATCCCTGAGGATGATCCGAAAATATGCCATCATAGTTTTTGTGATGGCCATTTCCTCAATTTAGACATAGATATGACGGGGAAAGAAATTTTCTCCAGATCTCTAAGCCCATGGTATTGCTCGGCGGTCGAACACAGGACTTTTGATTCCGCAGATTTTACTTGTACGTATATCGCACGTACTCGATTAATCTTAGCAGAGTCAAAGATCGAACCCTGATCCCTCCGAACCAAAATCCAATTCTCTAACCAGTGAACTACCACGGCCCTTAAAAGGAAATGAAATCCTAAATTTCTTTAGTAAAAGTATAATATTGTTGCTAATATCTGTCAGAAAATATGTTAAAATAAGACATCTATATTTCTCTTACAGGCTATTTATTATCAAAAAATATTGCTACCATGCAATGTTGGAAATTTCCCGGAGGAAATAGTTAAATAACAATTTATGTCATTGTTATTTTACCATAATCAAACAAAACAGTCAAAAAACCATAAATAAGATGGTAAGCACACTGCTAACTGTTGGAAAAACCATTTATTAACTGTTTTCCCCTGATATGGTTAAACAAACAAAATTTTATCGCACCGACTAAGCCTAACTAGTAAAGCCACTTATGCCCCGGCAAATGCAGGCATATTATAGTCAAGAACGCTAAAAGTGACTTACACCAAATGATATACAAAAGTGACTTACACGGTGATAAACACCAAATCTTTTTACAATGTAATGAAGTTTTCAAAACTTTTGAAATGCTGGCCAACCCTACACATAATTCTTATTAAATACATTTATTGTATACACTAGTGCTCAACAGTTTTTGACCAAATTCTTTAGCTAATATTTATCTTAAGAAACTCTAAGAATTATCTTTAGTGATTAAATTCTAAGCTCTCATTGATGCTGATAAACAAGCTGTATTATCCAAAGCTGGATCGTACCGTAAGAACAGATACCGTAAGAACAGATCACTATTCTAGGTATTAGTATGGTTTGCACCGTAAAATGGGGTAACTTTGTGACAAAAAAATGTTACGTTGGGACACTCGTGCTTTGTTTTTTTAATTTTTCGTTTATTTTTAATTTAACGGTTTTTAGTGATAGCAAAAGTCAAAAAAAAAATTTTCTGACTTTATTGTCAGCCTCATCCATTTACCCATTAACAAAATTTTGTTAGTCTCACATTAATCCCACACATCCTTCCATAATTGTCCATACTAGAATTTTGACAATCCCATCATAGTCTTAACCATTTATAATAGAATTTTTGTCAAACCCCTAATGAAACTATCTATCCATAATAGTCTATAATTATATTTTTGTCAGTCCAATAATAGTCTTCTTCATCCGTCATAGACTATAATAGAATTTTCATCAGTACCATTTTAGAATTAAAAGTTTAATTAGTAAATTTTTATTATCTCGTGGGCCACTTTAAATATTAATATAACAAAAATTAATAATTTCTCAAGTTTTATATTATCATAATTAATACTAATTTCTCAAGTTTTTAGCGTCAAAGCAATATTTTTCGAAGGGAAATTATTTTTGTTATTGTCTTTATGTGCAATGGCAACATTCAAATGGAAAATGCTTATTATACAAAATTCTCTAAATTATTTTCCTACCGAAATAAATTCCTACTAAATTTAATAATAAAATATATTTGAACAAATTAAAGTTATTTTGAGAAATAATCAATCTCCTTCAATGGAGAGTTCATAATGCGGTATACATTCTTCAGTAAATAACGAAGGTTAAGTTATCTACGCAAATACACATACGATATAAAATGCAGTTGATTAAAACTTTCTATGACATTTATTGGCCAATAACTGAAACAGTTATTTGTTTTTGCTTTACTAAAAAAATATAAGACTTTATTTCAGAGAAGTTCCTCTAATTATATAAAGAAAAATGTTTCTAAAAAAGTCAGAAGTACGAGTTATAGCGTTAAAGAAGTATATTAAAATAGTGCCAATATTTGATAAAACTATCATTACGATATCTACGATAAGCAATATACTATAAAACATTAATCTGTATATAATAAAAATATTTTATATTGTCGTTGCTGGGAGTATAAAAAAAAGACATCATGGGTTGGCAAAACACTTAGAAAAGTGGAAATCAAGCACTACCTTTAAGTAAGTCAATTTATTTCAGGTATTTTTATAGATATTCATACAATCTATCCATATTTATTGTGCAATAACTCATAAAATTAACGAAATGGTTATTACTTAATAGGCTTCAAAAAAATTAAAAATAGTACCTGAAATAATTTTTAATCTATCAAACGCTTCATGGCTTGAAATATACTTTAAATAAGCTAATTATTCTTACATTTTGGGTGTTTGTTTATACTTCTAGTACTAATAACTTAAATCAAAAGAATTTTCTATCCCTTTTTCGAAATAGTTTGTATTAAGTAAACTCAAAGCAAAAATAAATAAATGCAATATTTAATTATTATTTAATTATAATATATAATACTTACATATTATTTAATCATAATATATAATATTTAATTATTATTTAATTATAATATGTAATATTTAATTATAATTTAATAATTATGGAATAAATTTGCATTGAAATGCATTGTCACCTTGGTTTACTTTGGCTACTTTGAAATTTCCAGAAAATCTTTCATGTTTATATAGAAAAGAAATTATAGTTAGTTAAAGAAAAAAAATAATTACTAGTTTTGAGTATAGGTTTGAAGAATTGATATATGTAATTTTAGTAAATTTTAATTTCTTCCTCCTCCAGCAAAATTTAAAAATGTGGTTACTAAAGGTACCTCATCAATCGGGGTAACTAAAGATTCTACAGTTATTCGTAACTATGATGGCTTTTTCTAAGGAATAAAAAAAATCGCAGTTTAAGTGCTTTACACTTCGTTGCAAGACTGGAATTTTATATCGCTAAGTTTTCCCATCTTAATCCCAAGTTAAATCGTCATTGGGCAAAATCGTTTGGACAGGAAATTTATATTTAGAATAGATTATTTTACTTCCATATTTTATTATAAATAATAGCAATTGACCTGACATAGTTTCTGTATAAAATATTTAATCAGCAAAATGTTAACAATCAACAAAAAAAAAATTTTTTTTTAACCGTTTGTGTTATAAAAAATAGCTGACTTTAAAAAATACTTGCTGAAATGTGATGATAGAGCCTTAATGACAATTTCAAAGAAATTTAAATAAGTTTAAATATTTAAAATAGAAAAATTTAAGAAAAAGTAAAAACAAATCATAAAGAAAATCAGATTCCAATACCAATCTTGGCTCTTTATTCTTGTAAACTTGTCATGGATTCAATCAGTTATAATATTTTTCATTTTAACAGATAAATTTTGTAGCGTTAATAAAGAGAAGGACAAACGAAGACAATTATGATTAGAACCGGACTTTTTTTGTTGCTTACCATTGCTTTATTTGTAATGGTTGTTGATAGCGGTTCCCCGAGGCCTATTAGAATCCCAAATATGTCCCCAGGAACAACGCCGGGGAGGGATACAAGTAGTAAGTATCTGTTTTTGTTTTTTAACTAGGTAACTTTATTCTTTAAACATTTTGTGATAATTCTCGATTTGACTGATTAATTTTTATTATGCACTATATTTTACAAGAATAAAAGGGTTGTAAGAATCTACATTATCTAACCAACAGTATCCGGACATCCAACCAAAGAAATGGGTCAGGCCGGACTGTATTTTTCATTGTTTCGACTAGGTTACTTAGTTCCCGTGATTGGAAACATGATCTCAAAGATACATGTTGATGTTCTGATCAATGCTGTTTTCTGGAAACTACGGTATTATTCTGAGAGAAACCCATTTCTCTTCTTCTTTTTACAGTAGTCGAGACACCTGCCTGGACTTACGGACACCCACCTAAGAAAGTAGATTTAACAAGTTATTTTCATGATTTAACCTGGATTTCTTAGTTCCAGTGGTTAGAAGCATGAGCTCTGACAGGTTTGTGAACACTCTGAGTAATTCTGCTTTCCCAACACATAGAAAATCTTTCAGGGAAAGACTAGATCTCTTTCAGCAGGATAACTGCCAAATTAATAAAGTTTTACAAAGTTATTGTTCAGAAACTATAATTTCCTCCTCAGAGCCGGATTAAATTACATAAAACTGCTTTGAAAATAAACAAAGCACGAGTTTAGTCTATCAACTTATCAAAATAAGGATAAACAAAACTTACTATCATTTGATACGATGCAATTGATTGCAACCAACTGATACTTGTCAAAATTTACATTGTCGAGCAGTTCACCCGATTAATTGCAATTTAGTTAATATTTTATTTTCTCGTTTATATTATTATCATTGATTTCGTATTATTTTGACAAATGCTTGGTTAGCAGGTAAGTAATTTCGATCTTTTAGTGCGAAACAAATTTAATTTCTTTTTTTTTTTAATTAATTTTTTTTTAAATCCGTCGTTGAACAGTCGACCCAATTTACGGGTTTACGACTACTAATGCTTAACTCCGTAGCCTTGAAATTTTGAATCAGTCCAGAAGACAAGGAAACTCCTGGATCAGTACCCCCAAAGGTATTGATTTGTTATGGGAACATGGAGGACTTTGCGACTCGACAGATTTAACATGCATCAGCACCATTTTCTGCACGAGGTGTCTTCAGTCAGCAGGGATCGAACCCACGAACTCTTAGACATGGGCCCAGCAACCTACCAACCAGGCTATGCTAACCTTTAATTTCCTTCTTTGCAAGAGATGGAATTTAATCAGTCAAGCATAATCTATTCAAATTTATCAACTTTTGCCACATTTCTTGTAATTTCATAATTCAGCGGTCATATAGTTTGCAAAATCACAATCAAAAAAATCAATCAAGAGCGATTTGAGGTGGGTTTTTATCATTTAAGAATTTTTATATATTTTGAATTAGGGAGCCGCAATGGCTCAGGGGATAGAGCGTTCGCCTTCCAATGAGACGAACCGGGTTCAAATCCCTGTCGATTCGAATTCCACATCCGGTTTGCACCGACCACAGTGCTGACGTGAAATATCCTCAGTGGTTGGCGGATCATGGGTTAGAGTCCCCTTGCCGTCAGGCTAACCGTGGGAGATTCTCGCGGTCTTCCTCTCTATATAACGCAAATGAGGGTTAGCTTCATCAAAAAGTCCTCCACGAAGTCAAATTTCTATAAATACTCGATCCAGGAGTTCCCTTGTCTTCTGAATCGGGTTCAAAATTACAAGGCTACGGAGATGAACTTTAGTAATCGTAAACCCATAAAAATGGGTCGGCTGTTCAACGACGGTTATAAAATAAAGTAAAATTTCGAAATAGAGCCGCAACAGCTCTGGGGAATAGAGCATTCGCCTTCCAATGAGGGGAACTGGGTTTGAATTTAGCAATGGCTGGTCGATACGACCTCATCCGGCTTCCAGCGGGCACAGTGCTGATGTAAGATATCCTTAGTGGTAGATGGATCATGGGTTAGAGTCCCCTTGCTGTCAAGCTAATTTAGGGTGGTTTTCCTCTCCATGTAACGCAAATGAGGGTTAGTTTCATCAAAAAGTCGCCCACAATGGCAAATTTCTCCCAATATTTGATCCAGAAGTTCCTTTGTCTACAAGATTGGTTTCAAAATTTCAAGGCTACGGAGAGTACATTAGTAATCGTAAACCCAAAATTGGGTCAGCTGTTCAACGGTGGTTATAAAAATTAAAAATTTAAAAAAAACTTTTAAATAATTTATGCGATGATGCAAGGTAAGAACAATATAAAGGATGCGCCTGCACTTTTCAACCAAGCTCCAATAATTTCGCTCGTGGTCATTCCATGGTGGAAAACGATTTTTTTTTCTCCCATATAAATGGTTGAGTTTTTTGTTGATAAGGACCAGAAGTTCTGTGAGAATAAGATCATGAAATTACCAAAAATATGATAAAAAGGTTGCGAATAGAATCAAAGATATTTGACTGTGAAAAGCAAATTTTTTGAATAGGAAAAAGTATGAGTTATGCTTCACACTAAAAACTGAAATTACTTTCATTCAGACCCAACAGAAACACATCTCAAAACCGTAAGTATAAAGAAATTAGCATATTTTTTTCAAATTGTTTACAAGCTATTCATTCACTGAAGCCATCCCATTTTAATATTCTTTGAACTTACCTCACATAATAAATAAAAAATTAATAGTTATTGCAGATCGTGAAATAAATCCTAATTTTAATTTCCAGCTAATATCCATTCAGAGCTTTAAACAAGCAGAATCCTTTAAATAAAACTGAAAAGAAAAATTGTCTGCACATTAATTGGTAGCAATGCGTGATGCTAAGCATATAAAAAAAAATTTCTTTTCAAATGCCCTTCATGGACGCCCTAATAGAAATTTTTGGGTAATTTTTAGAAAGAGCTAAAGTGCCTCGCACTTGTTGCAAGTTCTAAATTTTAGGACCTTAGACTCTTTCTTTTATTATCACGGGTTTAAAAAAAAATAAAAGTATTAAATAACGTCTAGCGAAAAACAATCGACTCCAATTTCGACTTTAATTGCCTTAAAACTAACTTAATGTTTTTTTCCTTTACTTAAATTTTTTTGGGGGCTTGAAGTATTCACTTGTGTTCCAATTATCGAAGTATGTTCTGAATTTGAAATGTCTGATTTGTTTTATATAGCATATATATATATATATNTTGATGATTGTTCTCTCTCTAAAAATTAAATATTGTACCCTCTTTCCCTGCCTAAGACCTGTTTTTATCCTTCCTCTCGGCAACGACGTTAGATATATGTTACGGTAAATGACCGAAGTCTCGAAAATGTCGACATTCACCGGTGAATGTCAACAATCACATAGTCGCTTTGGTGAATGTCCGAAATATTTATTACATTCGATTTGATATGAATTTATTCGTGGATATATTTATATTTATTCTATATTTTAATACTTACTGACGATAAATTAGAAGAAACATCCGTGCTTGGAGTATCAGGCAAATATATACCGGGCAATGGCACTTGACCTTAAAACATCAGTGCAGGGTATACCGGGCAAATGTATACCAGGCAGTGGCCCTTAACCTTAAAAAACCTCAGTGTAGGATATACCGGACAAATGTATACCGGGCAGTGGCACTTAACCTTAAAAATTATCAGTGTCAGGTATACCGGGCAGTGGCACTTCACCTTAAAAAAACATCAGTGTAGGGTATACCGAGCAAATGTAAATGTATGTCCCGATACTCCAGACAATGATGTTTCTTCTGATCTATCGTCAGTAAGAATTAAAATGTCGAATAAATGTAATTATATCCACGAATAAATTCATATCAAATCGAACGTAATAAATATTTCGGACATTCACCAAAGCGACTATGTGATTGTCAACATTCACCGGTGAAAGTCAATAACCACCGATTCCGCTCATTCTCCGTAACATATATAGGGGAGAGTTGGATAAACCGAGATAGTCGGATAAAACGAGATAGTCGGACAAAACGGGATACGTCGCCTAGGGACCAGACTATTGCAGCTATCTAGCGGACGACGACAGAAACTTGTTATTTGACTGTCATTATATCATTTTTAGTGCGTCCAGTCTCGAGATCATTAGTTAATAGAAAGTTGCAGGCCTCAGAACTTTTTTACTCCGTTTTCTTTGCCATTTTCTACATTTACGTGCGTTGTTTTTCACATTGTACTGCCTATATATATGGGATTACAATTCCGGTGAGTATTACATTTGATGAAGCATTTATTAACGAGTGTTCTCATGTCTAGTCAATTTAATTTTTATTTCATGTTTAGGCGGCAGCCATGTTTTTTTGAAAAGTATCGGAGTTTGACGAAACGGGACACTTATGAGTTGAATAAAACGGGATAGAGTTTTATATGTCCCGTTTTATCCACCTATTTATTTGCTGGCCTAATACTTCTACTATATTATTGTTACTATATTGAGAGAAAGGTAAGGAAGGCTCGTATAAATACATTGACCCCTGAATTGGCAGCAGTGAAAAAGTTGGGCAGATATGAGACAGTATTCAATGCTGAACAAGAAAAAACGCATGAGCATGTTTTGGCACTAGAAGAGAGATTATTTGGTATAAATCTAACGGACATACGAATGCTATCATTTGAGTTAGCTGATAGAAACAATATTAAGTATAATTTTAAGACAGGAATTCTAACAGTGCCAAACAAGCCTTCAAAAGTGCTGAGTCCATGAGGCAAAAAGCAAGTGAGTAGCTTGTCTTCAGCCGAATGAGGAGTTTTGGTTACTGTTGAAACATGCATCAGTGCAGCTGGGGTATTTGTCCCTCCTATGTTTGTATTTCCTCGAGTGAAGGAAAACCCAAGACTCATGGATGATGCTTTCCCAGGATCATTTGAAGTGTATCACAAGACCGGCTGGATCACTAAAAAGACCTTCATTGCTTGGTTTTAAAAGTTCTTAGAATTTTCCAACCCTAAGCATAAGAAACCAGTGCTGTTGCAGCTTGATGGACTCAACAGTCACACCAAAAGTTTGGAACTTGTAAATTTGGCAAGAGAAAATAATGTAATTATCCTAACCTTCCCCCCCCCCCACATACAACTCATCGCCTTCAGCCTCTGGATGTCAGTTTCATTCCTCCACTGAGCAGGTATTATGAACAAGAAGCTCGAAAGTGGCTGTTCAACTATCTAGGTAGGTGCGTTTTAATTTACGAGGTTACAAAAATGTTCAACGCAGCCTACTCACGGGCAGCCGTTGCAGAAACTACCATTAAAGGGTATAAGACCTTACAATCCTGACGTCTTCCCAGATCACCTGTTTGCATTGTCTGTCACCACTGATCTAACAGCAAGAACCTCCAGGCGTTGGACACTAGACTGATGTGTGCAGTTTTAGGATTATTACTCTCTTATTATCGACCTAAGCTACCCTTTTCCATCCTTCCAAAGTGTGTTCTACCTGTATCTCAAGTAAAAGGACCGCTCCCAGAAAAAATGGCTGATAAGAGAAAGAAGAAAACTGTAGTAATAACATCATCTCCATATAAAAGTGAATTATAAATGGAAGAAAAAGAAAGGATGATTAAACTACAAGATGAACCAAGAGAATTGAAGAAAGGACTGCTAAGAAATCCCTCTTAAGGACACCAGACACATCGCGACAGTGAAAATTATGGAATTAGCATTCATGTTTGAAAACTCATAAAATCTTTAAAAACGTATGTAGCAACACAATGTTTGTGTACTTAATTATAAAACAACAGTCTAGAAGCAATAAAATCCTCTAAATACAATTTTTAGAAATTTAACTTTGCGGTTTTCTGTCAGTTAATTATTTTTTTAGTTAGCTTTACACAAAAAATTAAACATTGTAAACTCTATCCCGTTTTGTCCAACCCAGGTATGCTGAAACGGGATATGTAAGAGTTCGGAAAAGGATTTTCTTTTCTATTTTACAGTCATTAAAATTAGTTTAAAATATGTTTATTCTGTGCTTCAATAAGTAATGCAGCTATAAAAAAAATAATGCGTGGTTCTATGTAACAGATTTCCCGTAGTAAATAAAAACAATAATGGTATCCCGTTTTGTCCAACTTTCCTCTATATATTTCAGATGACTGTGGTAAATATAGTGATGGAGCGATTGTTGCCATATCAGTAGATCCCTGTATGCGAAAAAAGTGCGATAGGGGCCAGGTGATTGAAATAGGGTAAGTAAATCCATTGAAATATCCTATTTATGGATCTTTTCATGCGTGCTTGAGTTTGTTCCTTAAAAATAAAGTCTTTGATTACTCAATTAAATTAATTTTTTTGCTACAAAAGTTTTAAAAACTTCTTTGTTTTAATATATTCTTCAATGAAATAGTGTTACACTTTGAACCAATTTTCCCTTCTTATTTTTCCTATTCAGAACGTAATATTTTATATAACTGGATATAATTGTTTGAAAAATTTTAAGTGATCATATATTTAAATGATATGTCTGGAATAGTCTTGTCTATATATATTTTTTTCGAGCGCCACATGAATCAAATTGGAAACGAACAAAACCATTAGTGCATGTTGTAACAGATATAAACAACATAAACTTACTGCAAAACACCTCTGATATGGGGTGAAATATTTAGAGTGGTCTGAAGTGCATGTGATCCAAGATACAGTACTCTTACCCTTCTATTTAATAAAGATGCTTATTTTATGCCATTTGATTCTAGTTTGTAGGGTGTACCGAATTCATCACTCCTATTATATATATATATATATATATATATNTATATATATATATATATATATATATATATATATATATATATATCGTGAATTTAAATTCATGTAATGAAAAAACAAAAATAATATTAATTTCTAATCAATCACAGTTATCAAAATCTTTCTTATTTCTCGTATGGTAAGTAGGTAGGTTTGTATTTTATTTACATAGCACTAAAGTTCCACAATTGGCTATTGGTGATGGTCTGGAAACATCCCTGAGGATAATCCGAAGACATGCCATCACAATTTTGATCCTCTGTAGAGAGGATGGCTCCTCCGCTTTGGTACCCCTAAGACCTGCGTGTGAAGTCGAGCACTTCACGGTAGAACAGTCAAACGAGGACCGATACCGCGCATCCTCTGTACCTGCATAGGCTGTTTAAAGTGTTCACCCACGCATTTACTGATGGCAGCCAGTGATTTTTGACTTCGATGTTGTTTGACTGGGAACCGTGTCTTTACGCTCAGTCCACTGCGGGACATTTTTAGTATGGAATTGTAAGCCAGCGTCTTACAAAAGGAAAAGTTCTTTCAGTTTTTTTCCTTAAAGTAGAATTGTTTTAGATTGTATTAATTCAACACACTCTGTAAAATGATATCAATAATGTATCGTCAGATTTTGGAAACGTTTTTATTATTTACTCAATTAAGTATTAAACTTTTATCTTTATATAAGTTTTTTACTACATATTCTTCATGGATTCTAAAACTTATATTGTAAGGTTTCTGTTTACCGAATATTATTTAGATAGATTTAGAAATTCCATTGATCGAGTTCGTATTTTTTACCCTGTTGTGCATCGTGGATGAAATTAGTTTCTGAAGAGAACAAAATTTCTTTTATAAGTTTAAAATTTCAGATTTGTCATGATATTCTTCAGTAAAGAAATTAATTTTAAATATATTCATTAAGCATGAGTGTTTTTGTATCGTAATTTTTATAAAAATGATCGCATTCAATGGCTAGAAGGCATTCAATATACAATCTTCAATAATTGCTATTATATTTTATTGAAAACAATTTCAGCTGCTGACTTTTTAACTTCCACCTGACTCTGAATGTAGAAGAGAAAAAGGAAAAGGACCACACCCAATATGCTGCGTCTGTTTGTCCGGGTGATCCAGGATTTTAAGGATCAAATTCTATTCTGCAATACCTAATATAACATAATGGAATATTTCCAACAATCTCCTTTTGGTGTAAAAAAGTTTCTTAATGTTAAATAAATTTTGAAATTGCACAGGAATATTTATCTACATAGAACTTATTAAGCTCAAATTGTTAAGAACAAATAATTTTTTTTCCTGTAATGGAACAAAAATGTTTTTAACCCACCTTTAGACACCCAAAACATATTTATGTGTTTAATTTGAACTCTTAAATGTGTATAAATAAAATAAATTTTATGGTGTATTATTTTGTATTCCTTTTATTATAGTAATTAATTTAAAAATTACTATATTAAATTAAGAAGTTGTTTAAGAGCAAGTTGTCCATAAATCAGGTAGCACAGAAATATATCTTTAATGAAAAGAACATATTTTATTGAATCGAACGAACTGCGAAGAGCATATTTAATTGATCTATGAAAACCTTTGAGAATACAGTGGAGTTACAAATTTGATTCCTGTAAACAGTAACCAATTTTCCTGAAATTTTATCGCTATAACTTATAGAGGTACATATTTTAGGCTTCACAATTTTATTCTTAATTTATAGAGTTATATATAAAAGCCTTCACAATTTTATTTTAAGCATATAGAGTTACAAATGATTGGCTTCAAAATTTTACTTTTAATTTACAGAGTTACATATAATAGGCTTCGCGATCTCCTTATTGAAGTATCTTGATAAATTTTTTTTAAGTATTTTTTTTTAAAATTTATGCTTGATGGAGAAAATGAGCCACAAATATATTAAGTGGTTCCCTAAACATTGTTGGGACTGATTCTACATTTCTTTTTTTTTTTTTGAATTATCAACATCATCATCATAATTTATTTGGGCGTCTGATGCCGCCGCTAACGTATCTGATCTTCTAAAAATTTTATTTTGAATTAAATAGTGGTGATTGAAATAAGTCAGAGCTTTATTATTCCGATCGCAACAAACATTTATTCTGACTCACACTCTTGTCTTCAAACTCTTAGCAACACAAACACGAATGATTACCTAGTTCAAATGATAAAAAATACTTACAAAAATATTACTAAATTCCACTAGATTAAAGCCCACAAAGGATATGAGGGCAATGAGGAAGCTGATTGACAGACCAAATTAACTTGTCAAAAATCAACAATAGATCTATATGACATGCCATCAAAACAGACAACAAGAACAGAACTTATGAAGAATAACCTTTTAACATGGCAGCAAAGATGGGATAGTTATGATACAAAAGGCAGACACACTTACCAATATATCCCAAAAGTCAGCTATCGAAAAATCTACTCCAACTTCTATGTCTATCAATTTCTAACTAACCATGGACCCCAAGGTAGTTATCAGACAAAATTGTTCGGGAAAGACCCGAACTGCAAAGTTTGTAAAACTTATGAAGATATCGAACACATACTTACTGTCTGTCCTGTTTATGATGATTTAAGAATTAAATTTTTCCCGAGAAATTTCAACTTTGATACCATTAAAAGAAACAGGAACCAAAAGAAACTAAACAAAGGAATTGAAGAGATTTGTAAAAGACTTTTTGAAAACAGAATGGAGGATCTAGCCCAGTGTTTCCCAACCTTTTTTGTACCATGCCCCACCTAAGCCTTTCTAAAATTCTTATGCCCCCCCCCTATGTAACATATACATAATTTTTAATATTAAAAAATCGAATTGTTCACTTAAGAAACTTAGGAAATTGTTAGCGAAACAAAGTAAGTAAATTTTCAGAACATATAATAAAAAATCCAAATTCGAAATAATTTTAATAAGGATTTTTCTATAATAATTTAATATTTTAATTTAGTGAGATTCTTGCCCTTGATGCTTGCTGCACATAGATTTTATCTTAGGTTCCAATTTGGTTAGCTTCAGTCTCAAGTCTCCCCATTGTGTTATATCCAGATGATTTCTTTTTTTTACCAATGAAATCATTTACAGCACTAAATCCACATTCAGCTAAATATGAAGATGGAATCGGTAACAATAGTTCTTAAAGAGTTTCAAAATTT